GCACTCCAGTCTGGGCGACCGAGTGAGACTCCAACTCAAAAAAAAAAAAAAAATAAAAAATAAAATTATACTTAAATATTTTAATCACTCATTACTAGTTCAAACTTTTCAGTAGCATCATAGAACTTTTTATGTGATGTCTTCTGTATTTTTCCTGTATATTCTGTTTTTCTAAATTATGACTGTCACTGATTTGCATCTTATGGACCTTATGAAACAGTTTGCATTATTTAAGTTTTATTTTTATTTTTTTTTTGAGTTGGAGTCTCACTCTGTCACCCAGTCTGGAGTGCAGTAGCACACTCACAGCCACTGCAGCCTCAACCTGCTGGGCTCCGGTGATCCTTCCACCTCAGCCTTCCAAGTAGCTGGAATTACAGGAGTGCGCCATACACCTGGCTAATTTTTTTTGATTTATTGTAGAGATTCGGTCTCACCAAGTTGCCCAGGCTGGTCTCAAGCACCTGGACTCAGGCAATCCTCTTGCCTCTGCCTCCCAAATAGTCACTATGCCCGGCTATTTAAGTTTTAAACGAAGACATATCTGTATTTTATATTTCCTATACATATATCACTTGGAGCACTCCTCCAGTGTTTTGTGCACATGCTGCAAGATAAATATAAAAGAATGTGAGTTACGTATTATATAATTTGGAGTTGTGGTGAACTTAAGAAAATCCAGTAAGAAAAAAAGCTCATTCAGTAAGTGTAGAATGCTTATCTTGAATCCATATTTTTGCTAGATACTGTGGGGGCTTAAAAATCATAACAACTTTAAGGATTGTACTGAAAAATTGATAAGACACATGGTCTCTTATCCATGTATATTATACAAGTTGACTATCCCTTATCTAAAATGCTTGGGAACAAATGTTTCAGATTTTGGATTTTTTCAGATTTTGAAATACTTACATTCTATTGTAGAGCATTAGCATCCCTAATCCAAAATGCTCCAATGAGCATTTTCTTTTTTTTTTTCTTTTTTAAGGATTTTTCATAAAATTTTTATTCATGGTAGCCCAAAATTGGAGTCATTCTCTAGCAAAAGGAAAATGAATAAACAAATCATGGTGTATTCATACAATGGAATACTAAAATGGCAATGAGAAAAAGAATAAACTGCTGATTTCTGCAGCAGCATGGAAAAATCTCAAAAACATTATGTTAGATGCAAGAGGTAAGACATAAAAGAGTGCTGACTGTATGATTCCATTTGTATGAAATCCAAAAAACATGAAAACTAATATGTATAGTGATAGAAGGAAGAATAGTGACTACCTTGGCGTGGGAGGTGGTGGGAGTGGGCATTTACTGGGAAGCAGCTCAACAAACCTTCCTGAGCTGTTAAAAATATTCTAGATTTTGATCTTGTTAGTTATTTGAGTATATAAGTATGCAGAAAGTCATCAAGCTATACATTTTTCCCAATGAGCATTTTCTTTGAGTGTCATATTGGTGCTCAAAAAGTTTCAGATTTGGAGGCATTTAGGATTTTGGAGTTTTGGATTAGGGATGCTTAGTTGGTACTCAGG